CAAGGAGGAAGGTCAGGGGCCCATCGGCCTGGGTAGTCTCCCTGTGAAATGGGTGTGATCCACTAGCTGATTCCCCAGGATCTGGGACTTTAACCCCAGGGCAGTTGAGCATGTAGGACAGGCCCCGGCAAATCTGTATGTTTTAAACTTAGAATACAAAAAAAGAATTTGGTTCAACATCCCAAAAACCAATCAAAAGAACTTAGTAGAAACCTACTCTGCTCTGGGCTGGGGACAGCTTCCCGCTGGCTTCTGTCAGCCCCCAGGCCTCACAGGGGACCACCTTGTGCAAGGAAACCCTTCTATGACTGTGGGGAGATGAAGTGGGCGGCAGAAGGGCCAGGAGCAGTAACACTCACCAGGCTGCCGTCCTTGAACCAAACACTCAGCCCCTAACCATCCATTCCACCCGCTGGAGCAGTTCTGAGGCCACCAGAGGGCGCCCGGACTATGCAAACCAGAGCAGCCACCAGGTGCTAGCTGGCGGTGCCTCCCCTCTCAGATGCCCGCCTGCACCCCACAGCCACCCCACACACTCCTAGCGGACTCCCTCCAAACCCACCACCTGCACTGGGCCCAGCTCTGTCTGGTACATTCCAGCATCTGGCCCTAGCTCCCCTTATCTGTCCTCAGGCACCGTGGCCCCAGCCAGGTGGAAGCCTTCCGACTCTGGGCAGGGCCTCTGGACATGTGGCACAAGCCAGTCACACAGCCACCCAGGCCTATTTCCAGCTCTGGGATGTGTCTCCCTGCATTGCACCCCCTGCCGCTGTTGTGTTGATGAGGACACAGGCTCCTATGACCCTGCCAGCCTGGGGTACCTCAGCCCGCCTTCCTGTGGGGCCCCCCATGACAGGGTCTCTCCTCTCCCCCCACAGGGCAGCAGCAGTGATGACACAGAGCTGCGGTACTCTTCCCAGTATGAGGAGCGCCTGGACCCCTTCTCCTCCTTCAGCAAGAGGGTGTGTGAGCCCAGCCTCCTCCACGCAGGGCAAGGCAGAGCAGGTGCCTGCTGTGGGCAGGCTACAGAGAACCCACCAGCTCACCTGGCCTCGGCCTCCCCTCATCCCCACTCCACCAGCCTCACCCTGAGCCCCCCACCTCAGACCTCCAGGGCAGCCTTCACCCCCGCTCTGGTGCCATGGGGGCCCAGGGTCCACCCCCACTCGGTCCAGAGTGCCAGGAACATCTGCTGGTGGCCCCATGATGGTGTGTGACAGTGAACAGGTTCACCCCAGGTGCACACGCTGGGGAGCTCCTGGTGTCAGGTGGGCTGCGGTAGCCCCACCCTCAGCATCTCATAGCTCCCCTCCCCCACCAAGCGGGCTGCTCAGCCCTGGCCCTCGCGGGCGGAAAGGCCACCACAGAGGGCAGGCAGCAGCCACTGCGGGGGGTGCCACACAGACGGTGGAGGGGCCTAGGATGCCCCACCGAGCGGCCCAGGGGTCTGCAGGAAGAGCAGGCCCGGGTCTCAGTGGGCCCTTTGGGGTCCTCTCGTCACATCCCTCCGTCTGCAGGAGCGTCAGCGCAAGTACCTGAGCCTGAGCCCCTGGGACAAGGCCACCCTCGGCATGGTGAGCCCCCACCCTGTGCCCACCGGGACAGGCCTAAGCCTCTGTCTCCAGGCCTCAAGACACTTGCCACCCTGGGCCCCCATCACCCGCCCTCCAGCCCAGTCTGGAGAGCCCCGGGGACCGCACTGACCCCTCACGGGCCCTGCCAAGCATGGCCCTGTGACTCAGAACTGGGTCCTTCCCACTCCGGGACAGCTCTTCTGGTAGCACCATTCATGGTAGGTTCTGGAATCGTGCTGCAGGGGGCGCCATTCCTCAGAATTCCTTTGTTCCAAGTTTCCGCCCTTTACTGTGTGATGGGAGGCGGCTGGCTGCCCTTCCCTCCCCTAGCTGCCCCTGGACCTCTCAGGGCAGCCCTGCAGGAGGGGTGAGGCCTGCCCCATCCCCACCCCACACCTTGCCTGCTCCCCAGGGGCGGCTGGTTCTCTCCAACAAGATGGCGCGTACCATTGGCTTCTTCTACACACTGTTCCTGCACTGCCTGGTCTTCCTGGTGAGTGTCCAGGTGGGCGACCAGGGCTTCATTCACCTTTCTGCCCCGACTCCAGGGACAGCAGGGACTCTGTCACTGAAGCCTGGCACCCCAGCCAACCACAAGCCACACAGTCTGTTCTTGGCCACCTCTCTCCCGGTCAGAGCCCCAGGCAATTCTGGGGGCAAAAGCCTACCCATTGGGCCCTGCGATTGGGGCATCAGGCCAGCCGCTCTGTGGGAAAGGCCTGGCTGACTCCATCCGGGGCCGCGTCCTGGAGGGTTTTGGTGGAGGGAAGGGTCACTGTGGGAGTCTGAGGCAGGTGGGAAGGCAGGTCTAACTAACGCTGCTAATAGACAGAGAAGGGACATCAGGAACTGAGTCTCCAGGGGTGCAGAGGGGCATTCCAGGTAGAAGGCAAAGCACACACAGAAGCCAAGTGATGCCTGCATGTCTGCTGAGTCAGGAGAGAGGGGAGGGCAGGGCATGCCTATAAAGGCTCCAGCATCGAGGACCCTTGCCTCCAGCAAGGCCACAGTCAGGATGGCCACTACATGGCTGGCCTGGGCTCCAACCCTGCCCCCAGGGTCCTGGCCCTTCCTGTGGTATGCCCAGCCCCGTTAAGGACAGTCCCTCTGTGTCGGGCCTGGCTGACTGTATGTGAAACAAGCGGGCACAAGCCCTAAGGCCCACCAGCCCTGGGGTCTGGGCCAAGGGGACTTCAGGGGCTCTGGGGATGTGGGTGGACTGCTGGAGTGACCCTGAAGTGGGACAGGCAGCTCATGGTATCTCTGCCTGGCCAGGTGCTCTACAAGCTGGCATGGAGTGAGAGCATGGAGAGGGACTGTGCCACCTTCTGCGCCAAGAAGTGAGGATGCCCCCCAAAGCCCCTCATGGCCTTGCACTGAGCCCCAGCACCACAGTCCCTCCTTGTTCCCACTGCCCTGCTTTGGCCAACCCCACGGCCCCAATGGCCCCCAGCACCCGCCCGTCACATGGTGATACCCCTGCGGATCTCTATGCGCCCCCAACACACACACACATACACTTCCCTTCTGACACTCGGCCTCAGTGAAGGTTTTTGTGCCTCACAGGTTCGCTGATCACCTGCACAAATTCCATGAGAATGACAATGGGGCGGCCGCCGGTGACTTATGGCAGTGACATCCCACAGGACAGTGATGGCTGCATTCCCCACTCCTGCTTGTTCAGCTGCTTCTAATGACTGAGGCTTCCCTGGAGAAGCCCCCACAGAAACTGCCCTTGCCCCCTGACCAACAGTGCCAGAGGTCCCAGATCCAGGTCCTCATGGGCCCCCTTTCAAAGTAGGTCTCAGCCACAGCAGGCCCAGCAAGTTCAGAAAGCCCCATACCAGGCTAGTGCCCTGGCACGGGCCCCGCACCCAGCCTGCCTGACCAGAAGCCCTGGTGACAGCACCCAGCTATGATGATGATTCAGCTCTCACTGACTCTGGCCATGTTTGACCAAATTGGGCTCCCCTGGCTCTCTGGATGCCAGCCTCTGGGGTCCCCTAGGGCTTCCCCTAGGATCTGCCACCCACCCCCAAAGAGATGGAGGTCCCTTCCTTGCAAGGCAGCAGGCCTTGAGTCCAGCCCCCATTAGCCTGCCTTTGTTATCACCCCCACCCCAAGAAGAGGAGGAACCCCAGAGAGTAGAATAGTTTCTATTACCCTCTCCCTGGCCCCCAGACCCACCAAGATTTTTACTTTCTTCTTTAGCAAGATACTCTGGTTTCTAGGCAAGGAATCTCTAGTGAGCCCCCATACCCTGGGCTCTTCAGACCCAAGGACTGGTCTGAGGGGCCCAGGTGCTTCGCAGCCAAGCAGAACTGGCTGGGGGCCATCCTAGAATGTCTGCGATGGGGCCACTGGCAGATCTTCCTAAGTTAGATTTACACTTGCATGTTCTGCTTTGCACACTTCAAATAAATATATGGTTGCAGCCACACTGACACCCGCACTCTGTGATTCTGGGGGGTACTAGAGGCTGACGGGTACCTGCAGAAACACCCCTGGGAGCTGGGGCTGGACTTTCAGCTGCTCTGCTGATTTGAGGCATGGGGGTGGGGGCAGGGGTCTCTCCCCCTTTTCCCATCCCCGAGAATTCCATGAGCAGGTCCAGAGCCTTGCCAAACTCAAACAGAGGGTGTCTTAGTTCTCTTGAGCAGACAAACAGTCCAGCCCAAAAGAGAAATCCATCCTTTCTTTAAAAACTCCCTGTCAGGCTGCAGTTGGATGTATGATGTATGTTGCATGTGTGACATCAGTCCTGAGGAGTCCCTGCTTCCCTTTGTACGTGCTCTGGAGCCATGTACTCTGTGGCCCTTTGCCTTGGGCCCCTGCTTACCAGGCACTGCAGAACCAGTGCCCACCAAGTCCCTGAGTGCCAGCCTGCTTGGGGACACCCCTGCGCCACAGCTTCAGGGCTGCCTGGTACCCAGCTCAGCCCCACTCATGGGGATCCCCTCCCACCCAGACAGGGGCTTCCTCTTGGTCTGTGGTGGTCTGTGTTACCCAGTGGCCTAGTGGCCTACGAGGCTGGCTGCACACCCAGTTCCCACCCTGCAGTCTACCAGGCCAGAATCCCCCGTGCTATCCCTTGTCTTGGTTTTAGTCTTGGTTTAGTTGGAATACTCTACAACTTGGGCATCCAGGGACCCCTTTGGGGTACCACCCCAGCACTCTTCATCATCTGACCCATGAGAATTTCCTCCAAAGCCCCAGAGTCTCCTGTCTTCGGGGACCCCAGGTGGACTCGTCCTCCCTGACCCTCATTCCTGTCCCCATAACAGAACTGCTTGGCCAGCACCCCCCACCCCGCCCTGCCCCTGCCACTTCCACATCTCCCACCAGTTCCTTCTTGTGGGTTAGAGTCATTAGGCAGCTGGCTCCGCTTCACTTCCGCCTCCCTGGGGATCAGAGCTATTGTCCTGCCCAGGGTTCCACACCCCAGGACCCTCCCTGGCCAATGACAGCCCACCAGTGGAACTCAGCCTACCACTTGGAACCAGGTGAGTCCACAGGGGTCAGGCTCTCCCATCTTTCAGGAAGGTAGGGTCCACAGACAGGCCACCTTGCTCCCTCCCACTCTGCAGGTGGTCACCCTCCCGCCCACCCCCAACTCTCCCACACCATTCCCAGCCTCATTCATAGATTGACATCCTAGCCAGGCATCCAATCTATGGCTGGTCCAATCCATGGCTGGTCAGTGCCTAAGTTTACATTAAGTATTTCCTGGCCAGGTCCTGCTGAGAGAGCAGCTGGTTTGTGTGTGAAAGGCAGGGGGGGTCGGGGGGGGGCTAGGTACCAGGCCCTCAGACAAAGCCCTCCTTGCTTCAGTGCCCCTAGGGAAGGTAGCCCACAGCTGGCAGGTAGGAGGTGAGGACTTCAGACATCTCCACTTTCACTACCCCTCCTCTCTAAGGCCCCACCCTTGCCACCCACAAGACTGGGATAAAACCCCTTCTTTGCCCGTCCTGCTTCTTGGGAAATTAGAGATGTGAAATGGTTTTGGAAAAGGTTAAAGTGCTCTTTGCAAGGGTCAAAGGTCACTATGGGCAGGGGAGGGCAACAGATGGAGGCCCTCCTGGCTACCTGAGAGACATGGCAGACCAAAGAACTGCCAAAGGTGGAGGCTGCAGGGGATTTAGTGAGGGCAGGGAGAAGCTGATCTAACTGCCTGTGGGGGCTGAAGAACTGCGGCAGGGGGCAAGAAGGGAGAGAAGGGGAGCAGCTCAGGCACCCTCCTCCCAGCTCCCCAGGAGCAAGCAATAGGTCTCATCGCTGAACAGCTTTCCACACTTCTGCTCACATTGATGCACTACAGCTCCTTCAGACCCCTTCCAGGCCTGCTGGAGCCCCTTGGCCTCTTTTGGGAAGCCTCCTGGAGGCCCACAGATGGCTAGGGGTCAGGCCAAAGTGCCAGCAAAAGCCAGTGGGAGTCTCTTTTCCTAGCCAGACTGCTCTCAGCCCTAACCTATGTTTTAGGGCTGTGGAACAGAGCAGGGGAGAGGAAGCCAGGGCTGTGTTTCCCCTTCCAAGACATCAGGTCCCTAACACCCCTGGTAACTCTCGGGGTGGCATCAGTGTCCCCAACACTATAAAGACAGGTAGGTGGGGTCTTCCCTGCCCTGCAGCCCCAGGGTGGTTTCCGGCACCGGGAGTGCTGGAGGGAGGGGGCGTGGTGCTAGTCCTCGGGATTTATGAGAACCAGACGTCAACTTCCCCCATTGCGACATCTGGGCTTCCTGGAGGCTCTCATTGTCCCGGCGGTGGAAGGACTTGACAGTGACGGCCCCCGCCAAGCGCCTGTCCACGAGGAGTGCCCACGCTCCATTCACCCCACAGCTCAGAGCCCCATTCACCCCACACCTCAGACCACCCACCAGGCCTCCACCCGCTGCGCTCCGGGGACCACCACTCCGGGGTCCGGAGAACGTCCTCGCAGAGGGGTAATTCTGGCGCTTGGCCTGGGGCCGGCTCCGCGAGACGGGCCGGTCACAGACTCCCGCCCAAAATGGGGAAGCTACTCCTCTTGGCCCCAGGGCTCGGTCGCCCCGCCGCCGCCGCCGCCGCCGCTGCCAACCGGAGGAGGTAAGCACCAGCCTCGGGCGCCGCTAGGGCTCCGCGGAAGGCAGGGGGCGCGGCGCTCAGCGGGCGGGGGCGGGGCTCTGCCGGGGGCGGAGCCAGAGAGGCGCGCGCCGCGCGGGCGGGGGGCGAGAGTGGAGCGGAGCGGAGCGGGGCGGGGCGCGTGCGGCGTGGGGCTGGACTCTGAGCGCGCGGGGCTCGGCCGCCGGGAGAACCGAGCCCGGGACGCGCGGGGCCGGTGAGGAGCGCACAAGCCTTTGAGGTTGCGGACGAGGGAGGGAGAAGCCGCCGCCGCCGCCGCCGGCTCCCACCCAGAGGGAACCCGAACCCGTCCTGGGCCATGAGCCGCCGGGCTCCGGGAGCCCGGCCGCGGTCCGGGCAGCGCTCCGCCGGCGCTCCGGCCCGCTCGGCCGAGGCTGCGCCCCTGTAGGTACGGCCTGCTTGTCCTCAGTTCCCTCGTCCCCTCGTCCATCACCCCGGACCCCGTCCGTCCCTTAGGGCGTGCGTGCGTGTGCGTACGGCTGCCCCGGGGAGCGCGGCCGCACGCGCCTTGGTCCGCGCGTGTCGTCTTTGTGTGCGCGGGTTGGAGGAAACGCGACAGAGGAGATGCGCCCTGTTGGGGATCGGCTCCCCGTACCCCATCGCAGGTCCGGCGGGAGTGGCGGGAGGTTCCGAGCCTCCTCCGGAGCAGCTGCGCTCCCGCCCACTCCTAGGGCCAGGGCCCCGCGGCGGGGCTAGCGCCGAGGGCCCCCTGGAGGAGGGGTCTCTGGCTGGGGCGGGGGGTGGTGCCCGGCTTTCTTCCCTGACCGCGAGGGCGGGGGTGGACCACAGGAGGGACCCTTTCCAGACTACAGCCGCCGGGCCGGCACGCCGTCCATCGGCGTAGGCCTTCTTTCTCACAGCCACCATTCTTGACCCACCCACCCGGGAGCTCTCCGGCAGCTCTCGACGGTGGGGAGGGCCGCTAAGGGCGCCTCAGAGGCCGGCGCCTTTAAGGAGGGGCGTGTTCATGCCCTCCATTCAGGCCCTTCGGCCTCGGCCATTGATGAACCTGCGGGCAACGCTGGGCCACCGAACCGCTCCAGCCCAGCGGGCCGAGGCCAGCAAAGCTGGGGGCCCTTCCAGGCCCCCAGCAACCTGCGAAGTGAGGTCTTCAGGAAGAGCAGTCTCCTGTGACTGGGGCCCCTCAGGAGTGCAGGGCGTACCGGGCAGCCGCAGGAGTGACTGAATGTGAATAGCCCTGAATCTGTGTTCACACCGAGTCGATGCAGGGGAGAGCCGCAGGGTTGGGAGTCTGCCTGTGTCGAACTCTGTCTTTGCCCTTTGAGCCTCTATTATCCCCCATGTCAAATGAGGATGGTTCTACCTATTTCCTAGCTTGGTGGCCAGCAAGAGTAGCCCCCTCCAACATAGAGCACTGAGCACGGGGTGAGCGAGCACCTCCTGCGGGGGGCGGGCAGGAGGAAGGAGGAAGTGATTTCCCTAAGAGGCTTTGGCTCCCTCCGGTGAGAGTGTGATCTGAACCCCTCCTACTTTGCCTCCACTTTTAACAAATCTCTTCCGTCCTGGCTTCCCTGCTTCATCCAGGAGGCCACTGGATGGGGGAGTGGCCTCGACCCTTTCAGCTCTAAGAACCTTGGGAGAGGGCTGGCAGTGGGAGCTGGCTGCTAGGCTGGTATGGGTCAAGGCATTTATGGTGGTCTCCAAGTCAGTTTCCCACAGGCTGTTTCCCCCCACTCCTCTCCTCTACGGGGCGTGAATGATGCTGAGCAAGAGAGTCTGATCTGGCTTAACTGAATAGCTCTAAGTAATCGAGGGTTCACGCATACTCTTATTGTTAAAAACTGTCTAAAATTTCCAAACCCCTCCTTCCTGTTTAGTGGAGAATATGCACACACACCCAAGGGTGGGCTTCCCTAGCTGGTGTTGGAGGTGGGACCCCCAACCAGGTAGAGCCCCCTGGGCATTTAGTTTCAAGCTGACTCATGCCAAGCTAAGGGCAACTGTGCTGTTTCTCATATAATCTTAACAACACTGTGGGTTTGGTACTATTATTATCTCCGCTTTACAGCGAAAGAAACAGATTCAGGGAAGTGAAATGACTTGCCCAAAGTCACTCAACCAAGCAGAGCCTCAAAGCACTTCGCTCTCACAGGAGCCTGGTTCTTACTTTTTGCACTCTCTACCCATCCTGGAATGTAGGGAACCGAGGTTTAGTTGCCTTGGGCCTCCTGGCTTCTGTCCTTTTAGGGTTCTGATCCAGTCTCGGAGCCTGCCTCACGTCCTGCTCCTCACAGTCCACATGGGACCAGAGAAGCCGTGGCAGCTTTGTAGCCTGGGGAAGTTTCCCTTCCCCTCTCACCTGGTTGGGTCTGTTTTTATGGCTGCATTCTGTCCCAGGGAGAGCAGGTATGACTCTGAACATCTAAAGAAGGTTACAACCCACACCTGTTTGGGCAGGGCGAGGCAGGGCATCAGTGTGTGGGAGGACGGATCTTTTGGGTCCTCTGGGTGAAGCAGGGTTTGGGCTCCATTCTCTAGGTATTTTCCAATCCTCGGTGTATCAGGCCCACCTGGGTGTGGGTGTAACACCCAGCTGGGGGTTCATGGTCTGGTGGAGAAGACAGGCCACAGCCATGTGGTATTACGGAGGGGCATGGGCACCAGGGTAGAGGTGGGGACAGGATGAAGGGGGTGTTCCCAGGTGCTGGGGGCCTGACAGCTACTGGGGTAGAGGAGTGAGGGCAGGTGGAACATTGCTGGGCTGGGTGCTGAGACTGAACAGAGGCCATGCAGGGTTGAAGTAAGAAGATGTATTAGAACTTGGATGTGGTGAGTTTGAAGTGCCTGGAGATCAGCCAGGTGGGGAGTTCAGTTGCTTGGAGAAAGGCCCAGGGAACCTCTATAAGCATCCGCAGTATCAAGAGATCTGAGATACTCAGAGCTGGGGTGGGGAGGTTGGCACTAGAGGTCCAGGAGTCCCTGGTACGTGTGTCAAGAAAAAGCCAGAGGCTGAGTGGTGGGGGGATCCTGCAGGTTTCAGGGGCTGGGCCAGGGGCCCAGGAGGCCAGGGAGGGGTATGAATCAGGACCTAGGTGAGATCCGTGACACTGGAAGATGGAGAGATGGTGAGGCTCAGGCCAGGAGAGCATTGCCAGTGCAGCTAGAAACATCCCAGCCTGCTCTCCACTTAAAGAGCCTGTCCAGGAACTGTCCAGCACCAGGTGCTCCTGAAGGAGGATGAGCTTCCCTCCCAAGCCCTCAGGTCCTGGCATAGCTTATTGTCGTGGGCCCCAGGTCTGGATTCTCCTGCCCTCCAGCCTGTTGGAGTACCCCCTCTTCTGAGGGTGGGCATTTCCTTTCCCAAAGTGGGCCTGGGTCCCCCAGCTGTGCCTTGGGAGTAGCATGTGCTACAGAAAGGGACAGACCTGAACTTGGCTCCTCACTACCCCCATCCATTCTGTGGCCCTGGACCCACCAGCATGGCACCTGATACACAGCCTGGGGTGCACAATACAAATCCAGTGAATCATGGCCAGTTGCCTCCCGTATCAGAACCCTGTTTCCTCATATATATGCAATGACAGAATTCTCTCTCCCTGGCAGGGAAGATGGGAAGGGAGAAGGGCTGTAAATGGGCCCAATTGAGTTCTGGATACGTGACATTGCCACACTGGGGCCTGGATTCATCAGGGCTGGGACAGTGGGAAAGAGAGGCCTCTGCAGGCATCTGCTCAGAGTAGTGGAAGAATGGAGGGCATGGATGCAAGACATTCAGGAAGTAGAAGCAGAGGAGCTCTGATTTTTAAACAAATTATTCATTTAGTCCTCATGACAGCCCTTTGAGGTCAGTGCCATTATTACCCTCCATTTTAACAGATGAGGAAACTGAGGCCCCAAGAGGCTGAGTCACTTAACCACAGTTGCACAGCTAGGAAGCAGAGGAGCTGGGATTCAGACCCAGACAGTCTGGCTCCAGATCTCAGACTTTTAACCACTCTACTGTTCCATGTGTCAGATGACCAGGTAATGGAGGTATGGAGCCACCCAGGCAGTGGGGCCCCTGTGTTGGATGTAGCTGGAGGTCTGCAGGTCCCAGAGCCTGCAGGGCTTGTCAAGATGGGGCATCAGTGGGAGCCAGGAGGCTCAGTGGACAGGCTGCCACCCTCCCACAATGGCAAAGGCTGGCAGCTGTGGGAAAGGCAAGTGGATTCAGTAGGCACAGACCTGTTCTCCCAGCTTTAACAGCTGCCTCCCAGCGATGCTCAGGCCTCAGACGATGAAGCAGTCTGTGTGGGAGAGCAGGATGGTCCCACTTTGCAACTATGGAAACTGATGCTCAGAAAAGTCAGGACCACCTGAGTGTCCTCCCTCCCACTCACCCATCCAGGGCAGAGTCCCAAAGGCTCTTAATCTGCACCTGTCCTTGTCACTAGTATGAGCACCCTCCTCCCACAACCCAGTCTGCAGCAAAATCCCAGCAAGTTCAAGGGTGTAAAATTGTGCCCACTTCTTTCTTCTGCAAGAGTCAGGTCCACTCCTGCCTTCTGCCAGGGTCGTCGGATGAGCACAGATATTCTAGGTGGGAGGATCAGGGAATTCCAGCCACACCTCACTCAGGCAGGAGGCCTTGGTTCAGAGCCTGCCCTGTGGGGGCACTTCCTGGTGGGGTGAGGTGAGAAACAGACTTGAGGACCAACACCCACACACCCAACAGTGAAACAGGAAATGTGCCCTGTGTACCCTGAGATTCCACTGGCTGGGGAGATAGAGTCAGGCAGCCAGAGGCCAGAAGGCACTCCTGGCTGAAGAACAGCCTGCCCCAAAGACTATGTCTTGCAGGGGGAGGGGTGCAAGGAGAGGGCTGGAGGGGACTATTCACAGAGGCCAGGAGGGCAGCTGGAGGAGCAGCAGGATAGAACACCGAACGAGCCCTGGTTGTCAAGCACAGGGTTGGGTGTGCCGGCGTGCGCCAGGCCAGGCCAGTGGTCCTAAGCCCAGAGGAGAGGACATCAGTGGGCATGGTTCAGGCCAGCGTCCCAGCAGGCAGGGAAGAACCAAGTGAGGCCTTGTCTCCTCTTCCTGTGTTTGGGAGGGAGATGGGTGCCCAAGAAGAGGCCTCACTTTCCCCATTATGAATGATTCAGGGGAGGGAGGCAGTGCCCAGCCTAGAACAGAGCACCCTTGGTTCTGACCCTCCCCACACCTAGTTGTCTGCGTGCTCCTCCAAGCTCAGAGGTGAGTGAGGGTGCAGGTAAAGGGTCAGGAGTCTTGGCAGAGGGGGCTGCTGACCAGGCCCTGCCTGGGGACAGCAGGCCAGGACAGCCTTTCAGAGTTCTGGTGACTGGTTTGCACTGCGGGACCGCCTTCCCTTTCCTGAGGTTGGTTGTCCCCTTTGGTGGGGAAGCCGGCTCCAGCTGGGGCTCCTGCAGAAACACAGCCCCTGTGGGGTGTGGCCAGGGTTGATGCCTCCCTGCCCCCCAGGCCACCACCCACTGTGCAGTGGATCGAACGGTCCCTGCCCATTAGCGGGGGTGGCTGGGGCCTCATCAATATTTTAAGGAATGACCTGGCCATGGGGTCTGGAACTATGTGCCAGCAGTGGCTGACTGGCCTTTTTTTTTTCCAATTGTCAGCGCTATTTTTACCACCGGAAGGCCAGCCGCCCCCTCTCCCAGGCATCTGACCCAGTTGGGGGGCAGGGAGACGGGGGGTGCCTCCAGTCTGGGTTCCTTTCCAAGGGGTTAGTAGAGTCCATGGCCTGAAAGGGCAACAGGCAGAGACTCAATTAGGCTTCTCCTGCCCCCCATCCCCGAAGTCCACATCCCATCGTGCTCTGGCCTTGGTGAGATGGAAACAAAAACATTTTTCTAGGAAGAGAAGCCAGACAGCCCAGCTGAGCCTCAGAAAACCCTGGGGTAATAGACTGGGGGAGGGTGGGCTGTCCACCCAAGGACCCTGGGGCCGGCACCTGCTCCCCAGCCCCAGGGGGCCTCCCTTTGTCTCCAGCCCCAGTCTTCACGGAATAAACCTAAGGGTGAGAGGCAACCTCCTGCCTGCCCCTGGTCCCAGTGGAATGACAGTGACGCCTGTCTTTAGTGCCCAAGGGCCATCACATTCAGGAGCCCTGGAGGCCCCTGCTCCAGCACCCCGTGTTATTGATGGGGAGCTGAGGCCTGGGGAGACAATGACCTGGCCTGGGACAGAGCCCAGATCGCCGCTGCCCAGTGTGTGCCTGCCCTGGACTGAGTCAGCAGGTCTCGTGCTCCCTGGGGTCACTGGGGGAGGAGCTGGGACCCTGCCCACAGGAGCAAGAGGACCAAGGACCACAGGGACCATGGGAGCTCAGAAAGGGGCCGGGGGCGGGAGGGCTTCCTGAAGAAAAGAGGTTTACAGTTTATAAAGGCTGAGTAGAATTTGAATAGTCAGCTGAGTAAGGATGGCAATGGGTGCAGGAGGGTCAGGCAAACTGAGGTGGGCATTCCCAGAGGGCCCCCCGCCAACTGGAGCCCTCCATCAAGCTTCTCAGCCAGCCTGGGCAGTGGGCACTGGGCGAGTTTCTCCACCCATTCTCTGAGGCTCTGCTCCCGCATCGGGCTGTGGCCTCCTACAGAGTGGCAGAGGGCTCTGTATCACTGATTGGGTGTCACACTGGCTGGTCTGTGAGGAGGGTTGGAAACTTCCCGGCCCCACCAGTGGGTAGAGAAGCCCCAGCCCTTCCATGCTGCACATGGTTTGTGATGCTACAAAGACCACCTCCTAGTTAGGGAGGGAGACTTCATCCCCATTTTTAAAGTGAGGAAGGGGGTTAAGTATTGAAGGATGAGTAGGCATTAGCCAGATAAAGAAAGGTGGAAGAGCAGAGCAGAAAAAAGGCCCAGCCTGAGCCAAGTTCATGGGTGCCTCAGCCCCCATCCTCCCGACGTTCTGAGAACCTACCTCCAGTTCACTGCTCATGTGTGCACAGAGGTTGCTCTGCAAGAATGGAGCCCCAAACCTTCCTAACTCCCTGCTGCCCTCTCCCAGTACCAGGGCACGAGTCTCCAAGTAGGCCTGCTCATTGGGAATACCGTCCTATGTGCTCTCGTCTAGTTGCCTGCTTCCTCCCCGAGGCTCTCCTGTGGTTACCGACTGCAGATCAATGGCTTAGGTTGCCCCAAGGTGAAAGGGACCTCCTCTGGTGCCCTGTGCCCAGAGACCCCACAGATGATCTCACACAAGTGGGGCAGCTATTTTTATACATTTAATTACACTTTGGATCCCAGAGGAGAGATGAGCTGGAACTCCCAGGAGCTGTGAGGATAGGGTCATGCCAGGAAATAGGGATCCTGGGAGGGCAGGTGAGAGCATGACCCTGTGTCCCAGACCCCCTAATAGCTGGTCCCCTCAAGGGATCCCCAAGCCAGGGTAAGATAGTATCAACCCACTTATTCTCCACTGGTAATATTCACCCGGCTCTAGGGGAGGAAGGTTGCATTAAAAAATGGGCTGGGCCTGTGCCTCCGGGGGTGAATGCCACCTTGGGGGACAAGGGGGGAAGGCTCCCAAATGACTGGACACATGCTATGTGTTCAGCGATCCAGACTGATGAAGGACAGAAGGGTCTGGGAACAGGAGGAAGCTGAGGTGAAGAGGCTGCTGGGATTCCTGGACTGAGACATTTTTAAGGTCAGATTTGGGTGGGAGTTCTGGAGTGAACAGGATTCCAGGAGGTGGGAACACAAGTAGAGTGTACAGGTCACTGTGATGGAAAGAAGTCAAAGGAGGCAGCCCCTTCAATGCCGTTACGAAAAACTGGTCATACTCGGTCCACTCTGGGAGGCAGCCCCCAAGTCCTGGAGTCAGGGTGAGAATCCCAGGCCTGTCACTAGCAAGCTGTGTATTCTCAGGCCTCTTTTGAGGGCTTAGGCTGTGACATGTCTGGTGTGCTAAACACATTCATCTGTTCATCTATTCATTCAGTGTTTACTGAGAGCCTGCCATGTGCCCAGCACTGAGAGCACAGCCACTTAAGAGGTGGTCAAAATCCCTGCACATTCTTAGTGAGGGTGCAGTGGGGGTAGGGAGAAGCCAACACAAGTGAGCATGTGAACAAATGGCATGTCCGATGGCAATGAGCAATACGGAGAGACAAACAGGCAAAGAACACGGAGATGCCAGCAGGAGCATTTCTTACTCAGTGAAGTGGTGGTCAGGGAAGGCTGTCAAACAAGATGGTATTTGAGCAGTAGCCTGAAGGGAGAGAAGGAGTGTAGGGGAAAGAACATACCAGACAAGTGCAAGAGAGAATTGCAAGTGCAAAGGCCCTGGGGTGGGACCCAGGTGTGGCCAGAGCACACTGGACAAGGAGAGTTGCAGGAAATAAGCTCAAAGGTAAATAGAGGCAATCATGTGAGGCCTTAGGAGCCATGGGCAGGACTCTGGCTTTTACTCTTGACTGAAATAGGAGCCAGTGCAGGATTTTGAACAGAGGAGGGACCTGATGTGTCTTATGTTTAACTTGAAATGACGACTGGGTTCCTGGGTGGAGACCAGACTGTAATCAGGTGTGACATCAGGTTCTGTGGGGTACCAGTGAAGAGGCTGCTTAAGTGTTGCAGGCAAGAGAAATTATTATGTGGGTCCCTGGACAGCAGCCTGGGGAGTGGGGGGATGTTGGTTCGTGTCATATTTTAAAGGTTAAGCACCAAAAGGATTGCACGTGACTTCTTCCTGTCCCCTGGGCTTGGGGAGCCCTCAGAAGAGGTTACTTAGGGAAGTAAACTATCTTAAAGCCCACTCCAAGGCACTTATCATCCCAGCCTTACTCACTGACCCCAGGAGTGACCTTGGGGTTCCTTGAGGCTGCTGTTGGGTCACTGAATGTGGGGGAATCCCCTCCCACAGACACTGCCTCCTGCCAACGCTGCCTCACGCCTGCCCTCTCCATGGTCGGCCTGTTCACACACTGGCGCTTCTCTGAATGGCTGCATATTGTAGCCCCCAACCCCTGACACAACACAGCCCCAGGGAGCCCTGGAGAAGCGGGCAGGCCAGGGGTACAGGTGGGCAGTCTGGTCAGAGGTCAGGAAGTCACTTGAGCTCTTCTCGCCCACAGCCGCAGGGGGCTGCGATGGGACGGAAGCCATGAATGGTGCCGCCCCTGGCCCTGCCGCCTCCCCCTCCCCGGTCCCGGTCCCGGACTGGCGGCAGTTCTGCGAGCTGCATGCGCAGGCAGCTGCCGTGGACTTCGCACACAAGTTCTGCCGCTTCTTGCGGGACAACCCAGCCTACGATACCCCCGACGCAGGCGCCTCCTTCTCCCGCCACTTCGCTACAAACTTCCTGGACGTGTTCGGCGAGGCGGTGCGCCGCGTGCTGGTGGCCATGCCGGCGCCTGCAGGGGCAACCCAGCACCCCGACGCCATGGAGCAGGAGCCGGCGGGGCCTGCGGCGCTAAAGGCGGCGGCGTACGGCCACTCGCGGAGCTCGGAGGACGTGACGGCGCACGCTGCGGCCAAGGCCAGGGTCCGCAAGGGCTTTTCACTGCGTAACATGAGCCTATGCGTGGTGGACGGCGTGCGCGACATGTGGCACCGGCGCGCCTCGCCCGAGCCCGACACCGCCCCGCGGGCTGTTGAGCCCCCGGCCGAACCACGCGACAGGTGGACACGGCGGCTGCGGCTGCCTCGGACGCTGGCGGCCAAGGTGGAACTGGTGGACATACAGCGCGAGGGCGCGCTGCGCTTCATGGTGGCTGATGATGCAGCCGCGGGTCCAGGGGGCGCTGCCCACTGGCAGAAGTGCCGCCTGCTCCTGCGCAGGGCCGTGGCGGGCGAGCGCTTTCGCCTCGAGTTCTTCGTGCCGCCCAAGGTGAGCACCAGCCCCCACCTGGGGGGCGGTGGAGCGGCCTGGGCAGCAGCTGAGGGTGCCAGGGGCTGGCCTCGGGAACTGCACTGCTGGGTCAGGTTGGAAGGATGGAATATTCAGTGTCAGGAGCCTGGGATGTGGGCCCCACTCTGCCTCTCCTGCAGGTCACCCCTTAAGACCCCTTTCCACCTTTGAGGTGTCAGAAGAGCTCCGTGGCTACAGGAGGGGTTCTGGGGCACTGCTCTTGGTGTGGGAGAACCTAGCTGCCTGCTGTCATCTCTTCCTCGCCTGGGGCCCCTGGGTGTCTGGAGCTTCCAGAGAGGAGGAGGGGTGAGAGCCGGGAGTGACAGTGCACACTCAGAGAGCCTTCCTGGGCAGGTCTGCCCCTGGCCCAGTGGGAATCTGCTGGGCCCCAGCTTGGCTGCTGGACTTCAGGCTGGCTTCTGCCCAGGTGGCCCTTTCCGGCCCAGGTCTCCAAAACAGCTTCTTCCAGCTGTCCCCTGCGTTGCTGCTCACCTGAGTACACTCTGCCCTCCCCACTCTTGGAGGTATGCCATCAGACCCCCTGGGGGGCAGCTTTGGGTCTCCAGGGTGGCAGACCTGCCTTGTTTGCAAAGTAGGAATAACTGTGACATTGGTTCCTGCTTTCCCAGAGCCTACCACCTGTTTGGCCCTAAGCCTGGTGGGCAGGCTTGTCCTCCCATGACCCCGGGCAAGGTGGCCACCACATTCCGCAGGTCACAGAAGAGAAAAGGAATACTCAGTGAGCAGGTGTGACCTGTCCAAAGTCACACAGCTAGTGGGTGGCAGAGCTGGGCTAATTATGCCCACCACCCTGGTGGTCCCGGGAAGAAAGGAGCATGGAGGTGAGGGCTCCTTGTGCACTGGGAGTTTCAGGAAGGGGGAAGGTTGTGCTGGTGCAGCAGCTGGCAGCACCCCTAAGAACCACTCCAGGTCCCCACCCACCTCTGGGCCCACGCTATCGCCAGTTGCCCTTAGTCACCCTCTATCTCAGGCCTCTTTCTCCACCTCCCAGGCTGTGGGCCCATGAGCTGCATGGACTCTGGTGAGGTGACTTCCCAGGGACATAATCTCTGAAGAGCTTTTTCCCTGAGTCCCCGGACCCCTAGACTTTCCAAGGTCTTTTTGCCTGCCCAGGTCCCCACCATTAGGTCCCTGAGAGATCCATAGACTACTTACGTCCACAGACCACTAAGCCCAATGCCACCTGCTTGGTCAGACAGGGAGACCAAGGCCCAGTGAGGGTGGGAAGTGAGCTGGGGCTTGCCCAGGGTCACCCAAAGGGCAGGGACAGAGGCCCAAGGCACCAATACCCAGGCTCTGAATGGCAGTCACAGCTGCCTGGCTGTGAATAGCGGTGGCGGCTGCCCTCAGGGGAGGGGCAGCAGCTGTGATTCTCTGGTAGCCCCTCCCCAGCCCACTGTCCACTGCTTGCAGAGGACAGGGTTCCTGAGGGGGTCACTTTTCTAACCTCTGAGAAAAGCATCTGGGCTCCTACACCCTGGTCTGGCCTCCCACTCTGCTTTTTTCATGCAAATGTTCGAATTCAGGAGTTACCCAGTGGTAATTATACTATGGTAGGGGCTCAGGTGGGTTTCCCTAATGAGTTGGGTCCCACAGAACACCCCCGCTGACCCCGCCCCCACCTGCCTGCGCCACTCAGTGCAGATCTCTTGTCTCTGGAGACTCTGGGAGCACAAAAGTGTGGGGTCTGCAGGCTTGGAGCTACTTCCTGGGATCATCAGACTCCCCTCCGGCGCACGAGTCAAGTCTCCTGCCTCCTGGCCCCTCGCAGCCCTAGGCCAGCCCTGGGGAGCCAGGAACCAGTGGAGCTGGCCCCACTGATGGGAGCCAACAGGGAACCTGTTTGCAGGACCACCTGGGAGGCCTCAATGCAGGAAGCACTGGGCCCTCTGGGGGTCCCAAGGAGGGGAATCTTGGGCTGCAGTGTTCACCAGGCCCCAGAGCCCAGGCAAGTATTTCTAGAGGCACAAGCTGAGTGAACAAAGACCTGGAAATGTGAAACAGCCTGACGACTCTGTCCAGGGAAGTGGGAACAGTGAGGTGTGCCTGGAGCAGAATGAAAGGCCACTGGGCCAGGACAGACGTGCCTCAAACACCAGAGGCATAATTACCTCCAGCCAGAAGGACTCCAACTGATGTCCCCAGTCCAGGACCATGCTGCTGAGCTCTGTCAGTCTCAGACTTCACACTAAGGACCGTGACCCTTGCCCCCACTGGCTGGTGGGATAGCATGCCGCAGTCAGCCAAGCCCCTCGGTCACCACTCCAAACCCAGCCCTGCACCCACTGGACAGCAGCCAGTGCTGCCAGGAATTCCCATCTGCCTGCCCAACCAACATGCGGCCCTTCCCTTTCCTCCTAAGAAAGTCCCTGTCCTGGAGCCCAAGCCCTGCCAGGAATCTCAGGCTCAATCCAGTCCCCAGGGCCTTAGAGCCATGACCCGAAGCACTGGGGCAGGGCAGGGAGCCCTAACAGCTCACCTTTGTTAAACCCCACAGTGGTCCCTTGTCCTCAACCCAGATACAAGGTCCTGCACAGCTTTGGGAACCTTGTTCTGAGCTGGAGGCTCCAGACCCATGCTCTGGAGAGTCTAGTCTGCAGGGGGGAGTAAGTGTTTTCTTAATGAATTAGAATTACAATAGACTAGAAAATACTACATCATACAGGGTCAGGGTAAATATTGTCTGGGAAAATCTCTGTTTCCAAGATAGTTTTACCTCATGCGTATATATATATATACATATATATATATATATATATATGTGTGTGTGTGTATATATATATATGTATATATATATGTATATGTATATATATGCAGGGTCACAATGTCAAAAATGTGAAAACCACAGACAGGGTGGGTGTAAGACTCAGATGTTAGTTCCAGCACTGTCCATGACCTGCTGGAACTCCCTCAATTCACCTATCTAAAAGATGGGGACTGGCACCCCTCTGTACCAGGCTTGCCGTGGCATTCTAAGCTGAGGGCTGCTCTGACCTCTGGGTGAGAGAGAGAGGGAAGAGAGGGTTTCAGGATGCAACACTCACTGCCCCTTCCTCTGGCCTCCCAGGCCTCCAGGCCCAAAGTCAGCATCCCTCTGTCAGCCATCATTGAGGTCCGCACCACCATGCCTCTGGAGATGCCGGAGAAGGACAACACATTTGTTCTCAAGGTGAGCTGACCCCCTGGCCCCACAGCTCGCCTTGCTGCCCCAGACCACCTCCATTATAGGTAGGATGGCACAGAGGCAGTGAGCTAAGGAACCAGCAGCAGGGCAGGGGCCGGGGGTCCCGAAAGACCCTACACAGACATCTAGCACATAGCTAGGACTTGAATCTGGGCCCGGGCTCTAGAGCAAAATGACCCAGGTGTCACCCACCATCTGGGGCCCCTGTTCCCATTTCCTCCTGCGCCTGGGTGAAGCTCCTTTAAGTTTCACTTCCTCCCCTTCCTTCCCCCACTGGGGCTACACACCCACTCCATTGCACCGCAGTTATGCAAATGCTCCTGTTGCTGGGCACTGGAGTGTGGGAAGCCACCCAGTCCCACAGAGGGCACAAAGGCTCAGAGGATGGGCAGGGAGGCACCCCAGTGGGTCGGGGGGTAAGGAGTTCTCTTTCCAGGCCCCACGTCACTGGGATGGCCCACTTGGGTTGCTCAGGACACAGCTCCAGGCTGCCAGGGCTGTGGCCCTGTGCTTCCTCAGAGGATTTGAGGGTATTTGTGAGGCCAAGTCTGCAAGGAGGCCTGTTTCCACCCACCCAAGCAAAGTGAAGCACAGACACATGCACAGCCTGCCCCACCTCCCCTCCCCACTTCATCCACCCAAACTCCAGTTGGGTTTATGTTTCTTCTCATCTTGTTTAATCAGGAACTCCCTCATTCACTTAGCAAACCTTTGCCAACCCCATGCCCTGAGTCACTGGCATTCTCATCTGCCGGCTGAGACAGGTCCAGAGCTTCACTCAGGATGGCTGGGTGGCCTGTGTGCTACTAATTCTGTTCAGGAGCACTGAGGCAGATGGGCTCACCTGCCAGCTGCACGCTGGGCCTCAGTCTCCCCATCTATTTAGAGAGGGGCTGACATTGGTCTCTGGGGACCCTTTCAGCTTTGGAAGTCCAACAACCACATTTTAACCAAGGCACACAACAGAAAGCCGAGAGCATGGGACCTTGGTACCACAGAGACCTGGGTGCAGGGTCCAGCGCTGCCACTGAGTGCTAGTGTGACCACTCTGAACCTCAGTCTCCTCACTTACAAAATGGGGGAAACATCACCTCCTTCACGGGGCTGGGTAAAAGGTCACACTCTGGGCCTGGTCTCCTCGCTTCCCCTCTGGAGGCTGCTTACCCCAGGAGCGTGGCCACAGAGATGGAGTCCCAGGCAGGAGGCATGTGAGCCGGTCAACTCAGTGTGCTGGGCCAGCTGTCCCTCCATTGACTTGAGGGTTATAATGCCCTTTCATCCCATCTCCAGGGGGCCAGGGCATAGGCTGGGGATGATGGGCCTCCCACCCCTTCCCCAGCCAGCATGGCCTCGGAGGCTGCCTCTCCAGGGCCTGAGGACCTAAGTCACCGGGGCTGGACTTAGTCATCCCCAGTGACCCCAGGGTAGGCCCAAGAGGGAGGGGCTGCTGAGACTGACTGTGGCTTCACCCTGGGACCCTGGCCTGGGTTTGGGGTGTTGCTCACTGATGACCCCAGTGTCTTCCCTGCTGCTCACCCCAGTGAGCCTCATTGGGGAGGAGCAGGGTGAGCCATTTATCCTGGAGTCTTGAGCCCCCTGCCGAGGGAGGAGGAGGTTAGATTCTGACTGTGGTCTGGACTTGGCCGCCCGTCCCCAGGTGGAGAATGGAGCAGAGTACATCCTGGAGACCATCGACTCACTACAGAAGCACTCATGGGTGGCCGACATCCAGGGCTGCGTGGACCCCGGGTGAGTGCCCCAGTGGCCCTAGAATGGGTAGATGGGGTGGGTGTCTGGCTGGGCTGGGCCCTTTCACAGGGAGCAGCTTTTTGGTGATGGCAGGACCAGCGCTTGAGAAATGGACTTTCCTCATGGCCTCCCTATCCAGGTGGGTGCTGCCACAGGCATGTGCTCCCCACCCCCAGCAGGCTCGACAAGGCCTGGGCCTGGGGACCTGGAAGGAGGTTCGACCAAGTCTTATCCTCACTCCAGGCGGTTCTGACCCCTCTAGAAGATGGCAGTGATGGGGTGAGCCCTGAGGGCCAGGAGTGGGCAACAGAGGGGAGCCCCATGATCCAGCCCAGGGGCCCAGAGAAGTTGAGTTGGTAGAAGTACTCACCTCCAAGACTTAAAGAAGGCGTGGCCTAAGCCTGGCAGAGGGCATGGGGTGGAGGAGGGCAGAGAGAACAAGCCAGCAAGAACAAGAAGGTGCAGAGGTGTGCAAGAGCCTGGGCCTTGCAGGGACTGTCAAGGCCATCAGATAGCTACAATTAAAGCCTGCTGAGGGGACCTTGGTGAGAGCCAGGGAAGATGCCGGTCCGGGGCTTTGGAAAGCCATGGCTGGGAATAAGCAGAGAGCAGCCACGGTCAGCTGCGTTCAGCTGCGTGTGTAAGAGCAGGCTGAGCAGCAGGGAGGCTGGCTGCACAGGCCAGGAGAGGGAGGGGCAGGCCGGCAGAGAGCAGAGATCTTGGCAGCCTCTGGCTAACAGGGTAAGCCGAGCGCCGTTGGGGAGGGGCTGCTGCTTTCTAATTAACAGCTTCATTTAAGGAAGCACAATTAAAGTCCTGAGTGCCTCCCAGGCCCCCAGTTCCCCAAAGTGGTTGTAATCCCTCCCCTGCCACCTTCCCAGCCATCTGCTCTGCAAACTCTTTCCCCAGCCCCTGTGAAGGTGAATTGCACTTTGCAATACTTTAGAGCTGGCAGGGTCCCAGACACCTCATGTCACAGATGGGAGACAAAGGCCCAGGGCCGAGAAGGAAGCTGCCCAGGCCCCACCCATCACTGTGCCAACCACCATCTGAGGGACTCCATGGGATCCCAGGAGGTGGCTAGCCCCTGTGGCTTAGTGGACAGGGGTCCTATGGCCTCAAGGGGGAAACTACACCCATTCAGAGACCTCTCCATATGGCCCAGTCACTCACATGGTGGCCATAAATCAGGGACATGGAGGCAGAGGGACCAGGTAAGCAGGAGAGGGCTGATGCTGACTGTAGGACTGTCATTCACTGGCTCCATGAGCAGCCTGTGGTCTGGGTCCAAGTCCCATGGCAGGACATACATGGTTTTGCCTTCCTGTCTCCACAGGGACAGCGAGGAAGACACTGAACTCTCCTGTGCCCGAGGCAGCTGTCTGGCTAGCCGCGTGGCCTCCTGCAGCTGTGAGCTCCTGATGGACGGTAGGCTGGGGACATAGCTGGCTAGAGTGGTGGAGGGCAGGGTTGGAGGGGGTGAGCCCTCCATCTCTCTTGGATGGCCAGGCAGACGGACATGCTTCTTACCTGCCAATTCTCCAGCAGTAGACCTGCCTCGGCCGCCAGAAACAACAGCAGCTGTGGTGACAGCCCCACACAGCCGAGCTCAAGATGCCATTGGGGAGTCCCTGGTCCATGTCCCACTGGAGACCTTCCTGGAGACCCTGGAACCTCCAGTAGGCAGCGGGGGTGACAGCAGTAACACAGGTGCAGTGGGGGCCACCTCCTCTCCCTGCCCCAGGCCCCAGGGGCCCAAGGGCTCCCCGCAAAGCCCTTCCTGAGCCTCAGACGCTGTGACATTTCATTCCACTGGGCCCACTGCACAGAACTGCAGTCCTGGCCTTTGTAGGCTAGTCTGCGAACGTGACCACCACCCCCTCAACCCACACCCCACCCCCGCAGGCCCTGGTTGCAAGAGAAAATGCTCCCAGAGAGGGATGCTAAGGGCCAAACCAGGGGTTGGGGACAAGGAGACTTGACTTGTTCCCAGGTTTGTCGCTTATTTACAGTGACCCCAGGATAGTCGTATGCTCTATGCCTCAGTTTACCTCATGTACAACCAGTGGGTTGGGTCAGCTCCCTGCGTTTTCTAAAATTATTCAAACAGAATTTTACATGCAACAAGATGTTGCATGTCTTCTCTCAATGATTTGCCCCCCTCGCCTTCCCCATGCCCCTCACGCTATCTAATCCCTCTCCAGGGGAGGAGGGGGCAGAGCCAGAGGCTGAGGTCGAGCCCGAGCTGGAGCTCTCCTCCTGCCCCTGGTTCCACGGGACGCTGTCACGGGTCCAGGCAGCTCAGCTGGTGCTGGCAGGTGGGCCCCGGAGCCATGGCCTCTTCGTCATCCGCCAGAGTGAGACTCGGCCTGGGGAATACGTGCTGACCTTCAACTTCCAGGGCAAAGCCAAGGCAAGTGGCGGGGACAGAGGCAGAGGGGCTGGCCCTGGGGGAGGGGGGCTGAGGCCACCCTGGTCCGAGGCTGTACCTGAGCTTCAGGAGCAGCTCTACAGGTGCAGGTGTGGCATGACTTCCCATGGGCATGCTCTTTGAATCACCCCCGTCCCTCCCACACCTTTCTGAGGGGTGCAGTCAACCCCAAACATAGCTCCGTTAGCCAGCTGGGGGAGTCACCTGCTGTTGACGAGCCCACAGAAGGCCAGCCCTTCTGAGGGTTTAACTGGACCCTGTGCATTGGGGATCACCTAGCACTGGTGCTTCTGAGGGTCTCTGCTCAGGTCAGTTCACCAACCCCTCCTGGGCCCCAGCTTTGGGCCAGGCACAGGCCCAAGGGCACGGAGAGGAACCACACAAGGAGTGGGCCTGAGAGGGCCGGGCAGGAGAGGAGCAGGTGGGCAGGCAGGGAAGCTGCTGGGCAGAGTCTGCAGGGCCAGAGGACACCCTGAGCCCATCAGCCAGAGTAGGAGGGACCTTGACCTGAGATGTGCAGTGGATGGAGAATCCTTGAGGTGCAGACAGGTGGAAGGGTGGACAGGGCACAGGAAAGACGTGCAGTGCACCCAGATGGGCCCTCAAGAAAGGGCATTGTGTGCTAAAAATGAACTAAGGTACAAAGGAAAATATGACAGAAGAGTCAAGTGACTGTGGGGAGGTTACAGTGTGACCAGAGTGGACAGGAACCTCAAGCCCCCCCCCCCAATTCCAAGTTTCCTGGACACAGTTCCCGTCAGTCCCTGATGGAGCAGGGGGGCACCTTAGGACTCCTGCTCCAAGCCTGCACTGGTGTTCAGTGTCACAACCCCCAACTGGCCCAGTGCAGGCCCTCCCCTTGCTCCCTGGACCTCCCTCCTCAGCAGCATTGGCCCCACCATGGAGGAGGCAGCACCTCCCCCAGGACACCTCCTTGGAAAGCAGCCGCTCTTACTAGTTCCTCTGGCAACCAGGCATTTAACGCCATCCCTGGCAGCCCGAAGTTCATTTCTTGGCCAGAGTCACCTAGGCAGCCTTTCCAGAGGGCTTGGATCTGACTCATACCCGGGCCAGAGGCTAGGTTGGTGCCCAGCCCCCTGTGGGGCATGCAGTGGAGAAAGTTTGAAAGGGAGAAGCAGGGCAGGAGGCTCCCTCTTCTGGGGGCAAGACCCAGCCTTGGACTCACCCCAGCTGCTGCCCTCTCAGAGCAGGGTGACTGCTGGGGTCGGATGAGTTAGTGGTGGAGCAGAGCAGACTGCCACCACCTGCCACCCCCGCCTTCTCCTTGCACACCTCCTGGAAGACCTCTGCCTTCTAAGGCAGCTCTTTTCCCCTTCAGATAACAAATGTCTGGAAGATTCTCCTGAAGACTGAGATGCACTCACCCCCTGGGGCACAGCTCAGCCCTGGGCCTCCGCCCCCCAAGGCCCTGCCCAGATTTGAGACTGTGGTGGGACCCCACTATGCTGTTCCTCCCTGGCTGAGCCCCTGCCCTGTACTGCCATTAATGCTCCCTGGGCTTGCTCTCACTGTTCTAGCAACTTCTGGTCCTGGGGAGTGGCAGAACTCATTTATGGTACCCTGCTCCCCCACCAAGCACTTCTCTGTCCTTTATGTCAGCTACTAGACCAGCTTTCCATCTTGGGCTTGGGGGCCATCTGCATACCCTGAATGCCCCCAGCACCTCCCCTCTTGCCACACACACCCAGAGACTGACACTCTTCCTCCTGTGGGATATGTACTGAGCAAAACAGGGCTGAAACCAGACCTGTGGCTCACCGCTAGGGAACGCGGACCTGTGGTGCCTCCCCCTGATGGCCTGCCCCATGTGGGCCCAGGAAACCCAGGGAGGAACCAGCCCTGCTCCTCGGGCTCCAGGTGCTCCCACCGCAGACATCTGAGGAGCACGTGCCGTCACTCCTTCCCCCGCCAGCCGTGGGCTTGTTTCCACTGCTCTGGGCTTGTCTCTGCAGGGACAGAGGGCAGACCCAGAGGCAGTTTGGAGGGGGGAAATTGCACAAACACAAGTTCTCTTCCTAACTCTGCGTCCTGTGACTATGGGTGGGTCACTCCCTCCCTCTGCCTCAGTTTGTCCATCTCTAACTTGGGGGCTGTAATCTCTGCCTTCTAGGGCTGTTGGAGACTACGGAGGCGTGAAGGGCATGATGTGGGTGCTCCCTTTCATCCCAGCCTGACAGTGTTGCCCTCCTCCCTGATCCCCCCCCACAGGAGTAACTCTCCTAAGATGGGGCTCAAGTGTGAGAGGCCCCCACTCTGACACAGCCCCATATGGCCTCTGTGAGACATGGTCCTCCCACCCACCCCAAAAGGCACTTGCCCAGCAGGTGGCCAGTCTAGGACCCCACCACTGACCATGCCCACCTGTGCCCACAGCACCTGCGCCTGTCTTTGAACAGCCACGGGCAGTGCCACGTACAGCACCTGTGGTTCGAGTCCGTGTTTGACATGCTCCGTCACTTCCACACCCACCCCATCCCCCTGGAGTCAGGGGGCTCTGCAGACATCACCCTACGCAGCTATGTGCGGGCCCAGGGCCCCCCACCTGGTAAGACGCCCCCACCTGGCCAGTGTGACAAGTGGGCAGCGGGGAGATGGAAGCCACCCAGAGGCTGCCACCCAGCATTGCTAGCCCCAGGGGGATGAGTGCCAGGGCTTGGACAGTTGTAAGCAATCCTGGCCGCCAGGATTGGAGGGAGAGTGGCAGCGCCACAGGATCGCCATCCTGAGTGATTCCTGGCTCGGGGAACGGGGTTACTAAGAGCACCAGGGCATTCCTTAGACCCCTGTACTGCCGTCTGTACCTTGACATGAGTTATTCTGGGAGGTGGACTGGAACCAGAGCTAAATCCGGGGCCCCCGAGTCTCTACATCCCTACTGACACGCTGGGGCTGAGGTAAAGCGGGGTCAAGGGTGCCAGGCTCAGCCCCGATGGGCTGCGCTCTCCTTTGCAGACACGGGAACCTCGCCCAGCGCCGCGCCCGCGCCCCCCGCCGGCTGGAGCGAGCCGGCCGGCCAGCACTACTTCTCCAGCCTCGCTGCCGCCGCCCTCCCTCCCGCCTCGCCCTCGGAGGCTGGCGGCGCCTCGTCCTCGGCCGCCTCGTCTTCCTCGGCCGCGTCTGGGCCAGGCGCCCCGCGCGTCGCCGACGGCCCGCTCGGCGCGCGCAGCCGCAGCAACAGCGCCGAGCGCCTGCTGGAGGTGGCGGGCGGTGCGGACGGGCTCCCGGAAGGCGGGCCCGGCGACGGCTCCCGCGGCCACACCCGCGCGGTCGAGAACCAGTACTCCTTCTACTAGACCGGCGCGGGGGGCGCACGTGTCCGCCCTGTGGACCCTGCCGGCCCCAGCCCCGTGCTGGGTGGGGAAAGAGAAGCTCTTCAGTGAAGACATAAATGTTATTAAAGAGCCTGTTTTAGGGACTGCACCCGGCTCTCCTGTTGTTCTTTCTCCTGCCCTGGCCCCAGGCTCCGCTCCTTGTGGTGGAGGGTGGGAGAGGCGGGGGTACTACACACGAACCGTCAAGCCCACCATGGCCTGCGCTTACCCGGCCGTCACCCAGCTCTCTCTTAAGGGATGCAGCTCCCCCAGGGACGAGGAGCCAGCCACGCAGCTAAAGGGCTGGGCCCAAAGGCAGAGTTCAGGAAGACTGCCTGGGGCAGGGCAGGAGTTGGGGAGGGGGCTTTAATGGAACTGGGGGAGGAGTGACCTGAGAGAGGCTCGGAGCAAGAATGAAGGGTGGCAGAACTAATGCAGGAACACGATGAAGGATGGGAAGGGGCCAAGTCATGGGGGCCTTGAATGCCAGGATGAGGAGTCCTACCCTGGCTAGGAGAGAGTAATAGTGTCCTGGGGCAGGTGAGTGGGGTGGTGGTGCAGGATTCCACCACATTAGCCTGTTGGGGGCTGGGCAGTAGGAGAAAATGGGTTCCCCACATTTGACCTAGACTCAAACTTGGAAGGGGCCTACTTGATCCCCCCCCCACTACCCCTATTCCTGCTTCCCCGCAGACCAGTGTCCAGCTGTGGGTCCCCAGTCCCCTGACCCTCCCATCCCTCCCTGACACAGTCAGCCACTTCCGAGGCCACCTTACCTGCTGAGGGCCCGGAGTGAGAATCTGCGCTTGGAGTGGGCCAAGGTACTGAAGGCTGTGGCCTTTGCTGAACTAGGGGCACAGAGTATGAAAAAGTGGGAAAGGGTCTGCACCCCCCGCTAGGGATGGCTGCCAGGCACTGCTCCTGAGATGTTCCCACCTTAAAATGAATTCAGGGGAGAAGAGAGATGACAGCAATGAGCTGGGGCTCCCCCAAGGAGTGTGGCAGGAGGCCCAGCAGCAGGAAAAGGTGTTCCCTGTCCACAGTGTGGCGCCCAGGGTAAGACCCTCAGGCCTGTCACTCAAAGTTCCACTCCCTGGGACGCTGGGGAAACCACAGGTGCTGCACAGAGGGTGGCAGCATTTTTGGGGGTGGGGGGGTTCTTTTGCCCCTCAAGCATTTCAGCTGGCTGCTCTATGCCAGGCTGGCCTGAGGGGTAGCTGGGTGCTCAGCACATGCACTGGGGCCAAATAGGCGGTGCCCTGAGTTGAGTGAGGGTATGGGGGTGGGTGGGTGCATGGGGCAGGGTGTAGGACATGAGACCACCAGGGCCTTGAATGCCAGGCCAGAGCTGAAGGGCACTAGGGAGCCAGAGCCAGTTTGAAATGGGAGCTGAGACAGTCAGTTTGGTATTTTAAGCAGGTCACCCTGGGGCAGGAGGGTGGAGTGGGAGGAGCATAGACTAGAAGCAGCAAAAATGAGGGCAGAGGGCCAAAGAGGCCGTGTAAATCTGGGAGAGGGGCTATGAGCCAGGCCAGGGCAGAAGAAGAGGAGAACAGAGATGGAGAAAAGATCAACAGACTGACGGGAGAAGGGAGAGGAGAGAGAGGGGGCAGTACAGGCAGGATGGGAGCCACAGGGGATATCAGGCTTGAGCACTGCTCCTTTTGGGCCCACCTGGATAGCTCCACCTGAGAGGAGCTGTGGAGAACACGGAGTCCAGTCCCCACCCCTAGGAGAGAAGGGAGAGACGGCGTGCTGTGTCCAGCAAGGGGCTCCCAGGGACTGTTGGCCTCTCTCTAGCCAGGGAGCACGCCATCCAGCCCGTTGCTTCAGGTATCTTACCAGCAATCCCTTCAGGTAAGAGACAGGCTTAGCTCTCCCCTGCATGAGCCACAGAAGGGTAATCTTGGCTACCCAAAGTCTCCAAGCTGTAGAGCTCAGAGCTGCAGAGAGGTGAGCCACTGCCATTGATATGGGTCCTGCGAGGGGCCCTCCACCCAGAGACAGATCCACATGAGGCTAGGTCTGGTCCCGCAGGCTTGACCGAGGCTGACCTGGTCTCAGGAGAATCCAGGGCAGACCAAGAGTGCAGGGTCTCCCTGGCGGGGGGCTCAGGCTGCCCAGAAGGAGCAGGTTTTCCCTTTCTCAGGGAAATGCTCTGCATCCAGCCTCCAGACTGAAAGCTGACCTTGCTTCCCAGGAGGTCATCGCCCTGAGAATCAAGCTATGTGTTGGGAGGGAGGGCAAGAGGCCCACACCTGGGCCTGCTCTATCAAAATGCAAACTGGGTGTTTCACATCCTGAAGGTGAAATACGTTCAGAATTGGTGTGCCAGGGATCGTTGAAATAAATGGTTTCCTCCGGTGGGTGCTCCCAACTCAGCCAAGTTTGAGCCCCTTTTTAACTGGTTTTTTTTTTGGTAATATATATGCTTCTTTATCAACACTTTAAATAGCAAGCTCTAGCAGCAGTTCTGATACCTACCATAATTTCAAAGAATGATGTGTGTAAATGGCACTTCAAAGTTTCTTCAACAACCTCAATGTGAAATGAAAATGTCCCTGATAACTGTTCATGACAGTGACCAGACACTGCTAATACTGCTATAGTTTCTCCTTAAATGAAAGAAATGTAATTTTGAGTTTAGAGGTTAATTAAAATAAAGATGTAATTCTAATCCCATTCAAGTGCACAGACTTACTAAATGGTTTATCCCTGACCCATCTCTGGACCTCAGGGTAACAACTCTGCTCCAAAGAGTAGAGACAAATCGCGTGTATTTGAAATACAATGTTGAGAAATGGCAGAGAGAATGGCGTGGTGAAAAATCAGGTGCCCACCATCAAAAAAGCTTTCAGTCGGTCCCCGTTCTGATATTTGGCTTGCAATATTAACCTCCTGATCTACTTGAACACAATCTAGAATCCTGATCTTGCAAAACAGATTAGACAAGGACCCAGGTCTTAGAGGTGAGAGGCTTGTGTGGTTCTTGAAAATGATTCCTCACTGACTTTATTCTCCCTGGTTTAGATTGGATGAGCTAATTAAAAGAAAATTCAGTTTTATGCCCATATAGATTTATGCACCATAACTTTCAACTTGGAGTTTTGTAAATTGGAAATGTGTTTTGTAACTTAATTGAGATTAAAATTTGGTGCTTAGGAGCTTTAAGGGACAACATCAAATCCATAGAGACAGAAAGTAGATGAGAGGTTACCAGGGGTTGTGGGGAGGAGGGGTAGAGAGTTACTGCATAATGGATACAGAATTTCTATGCAGGGTGACAAAAAAGTTTTGGAAATAGATGTGGCAGTGGTTCCACAACATTGTGAATATAATTAATGCCACTGAATTATATGCTTAAACATCACTAAAATGGCAAATTCATGTTATTTATATTTCAACACACACCTCCTCAAACAGACTACCCTTTATACACAACAGAGTAGCAAAAACTAAACTCTTTCAATACCCTATGTGGGGAAAATGGAATCAATGAGAATTTTTAGTTGAGTGGGAGAGGTATAAATTGGCATAACCACTTTGAAGAGCTTTTTGGCATTATGCAGTAATGTTGAAGAGATGTATACCTTTTACCTAGAAGTTCTACTCGTAAGTAGGTGCCTGAAGAAACTTTTGCAACATTCCTGGAAGTCTTCAACAAGAAAGTTGAAGCATTATTCTATTGCAAATGCCTGGAAATAACCCAAATAGCTACTGATAAGAGAAAGGATTAAGTACTTAGTGGTATATTAATATATTTGGAAATTAAATAACACACTTCTAAATAAATCAAAGCATAAGTAAAAAAGGAAATTAGAGAGTATTTTCAACTGAATAAAAATGAAAGCATTAAAAATTCATATGGAAACACCAAAGACCCCTGAATAACCAAAGCAATCCTGAGAAGGAAGAATAAAGTGGGGGGAATCTCACTCCCCAACTTCAAGCTCTACTACAAAGCCACTGTAATCAAGACAATTTGGCACTGGCACAAGAACAGACCCACAGACCAATGGAACAGACTAGAGAGCCCAGATATAAACCCAAGCATAT